TTACAAGAAACTGTGATAGGAAACGACTAGGAAAAGCAATTAATTTCTGATAAAAGCTCTATGATCTAGGTAAACAACAATGAGCACTCATAGTTTGGGAAGTAGGAAGTGCCTGTTGAACAAGTGACTACTTGATTCGTTTTAAGCACGTGGAGCCCATTTGGCATCTAAAATATAGGAGAGAATGAGACATTAGCTTCCTGAATGGCTGTTCTTATCAGAAAACATAATGAAACAATAAAATTCTTATATAAGATGAAATAACTATTCTTTTTAGAAATAGTGATCTTGCCAGGTGCGGTGGCTCACGCCTGTAATCCCAGCACTTTGGGAGGCTGAGGCGGGTGGATCACGAGGTCAAGAGACCGAGACCATCCTGGTCAACATGGTGAAACCTCGCCTCTACTAAAAATACAAAAAATCAGCTGGGCATGGTGGTGGGCGCCTGTAATCCCAGCTAGTCAGGAGGCTGAGGCACAAGAATTGCCTGAACCCAGGAGGTGGAGGTTGCGGTGAGCTGATAATCTCGCCATTGCACTCCAGCCTGGGTAACAAGAGCGAAACTCCCATCTCAAAAAAAAAAAAAAAAAAGAAAAGAAAAGAAAAAAGAAATAGTAATCTTATGTTCTTTGTTGTATAAACACATATGTACTCATATAACATAGCTCCTGGGCTACAATAAACAATAAACGTATGTTTATCTTATTTAGGCAAACTAAATTTACAGGCTCTTTGCCCTTAAATTTTTAAAATTTATATTCATCTTTTGTTTTTTAAGATGTTATGAAAGTACAATTTTAAAAGCTCTTCTACTTCTAACTGCCATATATTAACAGGGATTGGATTTTTCTACCTACCTGAAATAACTAAAAAGAAAGAAAGAAAGAAAGAAAAAGTATAAGAAATTGCAGTATATTGGTCAGTGGAGAGAAGTGATTTCATAGAGATGAGAAACAAGTGTTTAGCCCCACGTTTGTACATTGTTACAGCAGACTGATTGAAGAGACTCAGTTTAGTTTCTATGAGTTCAGACAAGAGTCTCAGGTGGTAGTTAGGGTATACAGGACCAAGCATCAGAGAAGACAGGGCTATACAGAAAGGAAGATCCAGAGATCTTTAGGTGGACTTCTAATCTTCAGCTCAATATTGGTCTGTGGCATTCATAAAAGTCTAAAGACTGGTTGAAGCACCACATAAAAGGGTTAGAGGGGCCCACACATGTAAAGCAGGGAATATTTTTTGTTCCCAAGTTGCAAAACTCTCAATTTATGAAGCATTAAGTATAATACTCAGTTGTTTGCCTCAGTAGTAGAAAAACATTAACCATAGAATAAACAATTCTCTGGTCTTACCTAACAAAGTTTAATAGCAAAACTACCAAATATGAAACTGTTTTCAAGTAATTTACATCCCAGAAAAGAGCTCAAGGATATTTATAGAAATACAACAAATACATTACCCAGTAAGGTAAAATTCATAATATTAGGCAACCACATCAAAATTACTAGGTACTCAATAGTAAAATACAACTCATAATGAGAAAAGTCTAAATGATATCAAAAACAGAATTAGCAGGCAAAAATAGTAAAAATTTAATTTTAAGCATTTTCCATATGTTCAAAAAACTAGAGAAAAGTTCTATTAAATTTTAATATACATTGTGATGCATTTTCTGAGATGAAAATTAATCTTTGAAGCTTCCTAAGTGGACTTCAAATATTACCAAAATATTAATAATAAACACCATTATTTTGGAAACTTATCTGTTTCTGAGATTTACTCTGTTTTTAAACCTTGGGAAATGAAGAATGAGGAAGGAAGTGATTCTTACAGATGAATTATCATAGAATTTAAGGACTGAACAGAAATAGATAAGGATCAAGAAGAGGAGGAGAGATAGACTGTGTTGGCATGTGGTGGCTCTAGTTCCAGGGTGTCAAAGGCACATCATGCTTGGTAATAAAAACACTATTTACATTTTATCAGTGTCCTACTGATGAGTGCTTTCACATTTCTGATGCTGAAATAGCTTTATTATGTCCTAATCAGTAACATATAGTAATTTTTACTCACATGTTGACTGGGGAATTCCTTGCAATAATTCTAAGTCTACACAGAGACCTGTGGGCCATCAGATGGAACAACTGGGAAAGTAGTATTGCAGCATTGGGACTTCTATTATGGGTCATGGTGTCCTTACATTCTTTTGTTTTTGAAATCATTTTAACAACTCATTGTTCCAACTAAGAAAGGACATAACATCCCAAGGGAGGCTTAAAGAGAAAAGAAAACAGTGGATTTGACATGGGCCCATTATTTTTGTTATTGTTGGTTTGAGGAGGAAGAAAAGTAGAGGTGATGAAGTTGCCTTCAGCAACTGGTAGTTGCTGGTAGTTGAATCTCAGGCTATGATTCTACTTGGCACCTGACCCTTGGAGAAGCGAAGACAGGGGCAGAGGGTAATGGGAAGACTGGACCCGTGGAATTGATACATAGCACTTAGCATGCAGTCAGTGGGGATCTCAGAGAGCCAGGAGAGATGGTCTAGTATGAATAAAACTTGCTGGAAATACTTGAACTCTTTCCTAATTTTGGTGAGATTTGATATCTAGAAACACATATCTATTGAATTCAAATTTCTCCTAATGCACATTGTAGTAATCAGAAAGAATTATAGTGCTGCTTCATTTCTAGAAAAGATAGCAGAATCTACCTTTGACACTAATGCATGAAAATATTTTTGTGTTTTAAAAAGGCAACTGGCCAAATTTAATTTCTCAAATGAGTTAATTGCTGTAGATGGTAGACAAAAAGTACGGCTGACTGTAGAAAGCCTTTATTGAGAATAGATGAGTTGTATTGTAGCACAATTCTTAGATCATGTCCACATAGTAAAATACATTGATGATATAATTAGCCCATTTTAATTTATATTATAGTTCAATTTAATTAATTTGTACCAAAAAATAAGATGTTTTTGAAAATCCTAGTCTGAATAATTTTTTTCACTTTTTATATTGTCTCTTCCTTTTTATATGTTGTAAGAATGTTTACTTTGAATTTTTTTCTTGTTTTAGGTAGAGATATCAATTGAAATATATCTAATTTTGTGACACTGAATTTAATCAACCAACCATTCCTAAGGAATTGATAGCATATTTACTATTTGGTTACATGGATAGGCATTCTGGCATTAAAGTAAGTCTTTAAAATAAGATTAGAAAATTACTTTTTAAGAGAATTAATGTTTTGATAATTTGAGTTTATTACAAAATACATTCTCATTTTATGTACTATTATTTAATTTAACAATAAGTTTTTATGACAGATTTTAGTCAAACTAGTTGTACAATCAACAAGAAAATGATATATGGTCAATCAATCAGACCATCAAATACCACTTGGTAGCATACTCCATTTGAACAGGAACCACATTTCCAAAAAGAATGTGATTTAGTCATTGGAGGTAAAATGAAAAATATCAGACTATACCTTAAAAACAAACAAACAAAATAAAATAAGACAAAAACTTGTCCAATTCAGTATACATAATAGAAATAGGAATCAAATAGTAGTATGTATGTCATTAAACCTTTCTAACAAGATTCTGTGATCATCTGAAATAGAAAAACATGGTTTTCCAATATAACTACTCAAATCAGTAAAAATAAATATTTTCAAGTTTTACTCTTATTTTAAAATTTTACTTTATTGTCTTAGTTATCTGTATTTACGTTAATATTTTTCAATCTTTGTTGATCCTTATTTATAGTTTATATACTTTTATTAAGCTAGAGGCCATAAACTAACATTTCATACTCAAATAAATTTCAGGGACTATTCCCTTTTTAGTTTAAGGATTAGATGAGATATGGATACTATATATTCAAATAGTCATGTACTAGAATGACAGATTTAAAATAATTTTTAAAATGTGTTATGAAGATTTTGCCATGTTCAAAACTTTTGCCTTATCTCTCAAAATTGTCGCAATGTTCCCCCTTTCATGTAAATATTATGCTTTTACACAAGAAATACGACTCTATGTGCAGTATGTTTCCTGCTTGAGTTTTGCCCTTTGTATTCATATTATCTCACGTTATACAAAGTCATTTTGTGACTAATTTCCAGGGCACTGAGTCACAGTGTGGCTGTTGCTTATCTTTTCTCCTCTCCCACATGGTAGTACTCTTGGCTCTTATATTTGGCAATTATTTTATACTAAAGAGTGTTTTTTTATAATTAAATAATAGCTTGTCTTATTATATTTCTGTGGTTGTTCAGTGCTGCATTACATGCTTTCCTGTCTTAATAGAAGCAAGCATTTGATATCCAACATAACATAACAGTACATCATGTAGGCACGTTATCTATTGTTTTAATTTACAAAATTGCACAACATAGACTTGTTTGTAAGTATTCTCATTTAGTTATCTCAGAATATAAACTTTAGTCTCTAGAGACTTGTAAAATATTTCCTTAGAGAAATTAGTTAATGCTGGCATAAAGTATTCAATTTAGATTATAATTATTTGAATGTTTACATCATTTTAAATGTTATCAACTAACGATATTGAAGGAAGATTCTTTACACAGAAGAGTGACAGTCTCCTTATTATATGTTATGAAATAAAATGGAAAGGTAAACCACACTTCCAAAAACTTCCAATTAACCAAGCACAATTAGTAATGAATTCTCCTGTAATCTTCAAATTATAAAAGAGCTACATACACCAATTAGTCACAAAAATGTTCATGGTTTAAAGTCATAAACATCGCACATAAATTTGCTTAAGGACTAAATGCAAAATGCCGAGAACTCATTTTCATTGCAGTTTGAGTTTACTTTGTTTACAGGGAAGGGTTGATTTTCATTTTAGGCAAATAAACAGTGATCCTCCCCTATCAGTTCTTTGTCTCTCAGCACCCTGCTTTTCCCCCAAGAAAAGGAAATTGAAGTTATTTCTCATGGGCTAGACAGTATATCGCCATGTACTCACAAGTAAAATCTCTGATGAAAGTTCTTGAAATGGTATTTTCAAAACGGAGTTGAGGTTATTTTCTTTTTTCTTCCAGGTATTGAAGAGATGATTTATCTTTTCTACTTCTTTTAGAAACAGATCAAGAAACTGGGGACTGAAGAATACCGAAAGAAATGCAATCTGATCTTACTCGCAGTGAAAGAGGGAGGTAAGAATTTGACTATTATCCAGCCTAAAGACGCTGCTGTCTGTTGGAGTAAAGACGGAGCCTCAGAGTCTGTTTGAGATTACTGGCAGTTGGGAATAGCCCAGCTTCCTGTTAGGTCACTACTGCAACCCTGATGACTCTATATAGTACAAACCTCTTTTTTTTTTTTTTTTTTTTTTTTTTTTTTTTGGTGGAGGAAACAGATGAAGGAAACAGCTTACATCCAAGATTTCAGATACAATCACTTTGAATAACTATTTCTTTCACTTTCCAGGATTGTTTTTGTAATCAGCTTAAAAAGAATGCTTTTTTTCTTCTAGAGTTAGGATGTTTTATAAAATTATGTATTTACTATTACATTGTTAATAAATAAACTTTTTTGCAGTTAGTTTCTTCTTCAAGTTATTTCATTTGTTTTACCCACTGTCAGTATATTTGTTTTTTTTTTAAAAAGTCTGAGGGCTACTATCGGAGGTCTCTCTTAGTGAGACAGTGTAATGCATTATCTATTGCAGAAGATCGGGCTTTGAGCTCTACCTTAGCTACTTGCTAGCGTAGCAAGTTATTTGACTTCTCTATACCTCAGTTTCTTTTTTCCTAGAATATTGATAATAAAAGTTTCTGAGCTTGATATAAGTGCTAAATGGCTTAATACATAAAAAGTACTTAAGGCAGGCCCCAGCATGTAATGAATCTCCAAAAAATGTTGATTATCATTATGGCCGTTGTATTCTATTATTATTCTATACATCATATAAATATTTAAAGGTGTCAACCAGAGTCTCTCTGCTGTATGTCCTTATCATTAACGTTAATCCTTACTGTTTCTGTATTGGAATTACGGTCATATCAGATTAAGATCACTAGAGATCCAATAGGCAGAATCTACTTTGCCAGCAACACTGAAGACATTTGGTCAGAAAATATACCAGTTTCCTGTTTCTGCATCTCAGATTCTTTGTGCCTTCAACTTTTCTTGCTTTCCTTAGACCTCTCTGTAAAAGGTAACCTTTCATTTTGTGTGTTTTTAATATGTATTGAATAATTATTAGGTAACTGGAACATAAATTTTCTTAATTTTCACAATTAGCTTATAAAGAAGGTCTTCTTTGTATGCCCATTTCCCAGATCTAGAAGACTGAGTTCAGTACATGGAGCTGTGATTCTAATCATGCAGTCTGATTTTAGAGCACGAATGCTTAAATCCTCCTTTATGCTGCCTTCTCACTCATGTTCTGGATTTGATAACATGTTAATAATTTATCTCCTATTACCTCAAGCCCTGCCCCTCAGTCACAATCAAAGCTCTCATCTCACTCAGATTGTGGAGGAAAGTTGCCTTTTTATTTTTATTTTTGGTTCCACAATGAATCTTGATTAAACTTTTGACCAATCTCTATCTCAGGTAGAGACAAGCTCAGCCAGTCAGACTTTCTTTCTTAAAAGCATGAATTGAGAACTGTGGAAGAAGTACATTGTGTAAAAATAAGATAAAATTTCAGGACCATTTAAGTTTATTATGTCAAGAGAAAAGTTAAGCCCTGGAGATTGTCAGGTAGCATATTTGCAATTCTGCCCCTTAGGCTGTAGATTGGCTCTCTTTTTATTGGAGGCTGGAGTCTGCTCTGTCACCAGGCTGGAGTGCAGTGGTGCCATCTTGGCTCACTGAAACCTCTGCCTCCCAGGTTCAAGTGCCTCAGCCTACCAAGTAGCTGGGATTACGGGCGTGTGCTACCAGGCCCAGCTGATTTTTGCATTTTTAGTAGAGACAGGGTTTCTTGATGTTGGCCAGGCTAGTCTTTAACTCCTGACCTCACTATCCCCCTACCTCAGGCTCTCAAAGTGCTGGGATTATAGTTCTTGTTCTAAAAATGACTCGGAGAGACAAGAGATCAAATCTAGCTCTATATCCAATTACTCATCTTTGTTATAGATTAAATGACTCCTTTATTGCCTGGTACCTAATTCAGACCAGATGGCACCTCAGACTCCATGACAGTTACATCTTCAGTGTGGAATGTTAAATATACATTTCCCAAGACAAAAGCACCACCTGGACCAATTAGCTAATTGTAACTGTGCCATTAAAGCTTACATGGAATGATGCTGACATTCTGTTAAGTTTCCCCGAACTTTGACTCTTTAAGTGATCCCAAACTTCCTTACTTGTGAACATGGACTTTCATTCTTTGGAATCTGTACTTCCTGAGAAGCTAGTCCTCAAACTTTGTGTTTGAATAAATTATCTTTAAACTAGATTCTGACTCTTTTAGTTATTTTAGGTTGACAACAGTAAATGTCAGGCTCTTAACTAAAAGGCCAGATGGAGAAAGGGCTGATGGCCACAGGTCTGTGTGCAAGATGGTTATGTAGTGAAAGCTAATTGATAGGGTATTGAGAAAAAGAATAAGAACAGGTAACTTCTAAGAAAGAACAAGAGAAAAAGTGAAAGCAAGAGCAAGCGTGAGAAGCAAGTTGGTGTGATCATGATGCCCTAGCTCTACAGTGGCAGTACATCCCCAGGCCTAGCTCAAGTTTTCCAAAGTACTCAGGAACACACATCCTTGGCATAAACTCCTTTTTGTCCTAAAGTTATTTTTAAAAGTCTTTTTTTTTTTTTTAACGTTAAGAACTCTATCTGAAATACCCATCTTTTTAACACCAGAGATCATCCATTTCATAGCTAAGCTGCGCTTAGCATCAATGAAAACTTACCATTTTAAAAATGTAACTTAGAAAAACTTCAGTATGCTTGTGCTCAAGATACTGTGAGAACTTGATGTTGTTACGATATTGTTAGTTTAGCCTGATACTGAAACTATGGACCCTGTAGACTCAGCTCCTCTCTGTGGTTTTTTGTTTTTGTTTTTTGCTAGTTTACCATTCCATTGTATATAACTCTAAGTCTTATTTATTTGGATAAAACAAATATTCTCACCAACAATTTGCCTATTTGCCTTTGTATCTTAAACCTCTCTGTATCTAATAAGTATCTGGATCTTTTCATTTCCCAACACATTTTGTTATTTTTTCTTTCCAATTCACATATGTCAAACAATATACTCAGCTCTTAATATAAGCTTTAATATCTCTTGACTAAGATATAAAAATAATCTTTTTTTTTCTTTACTTGCTCTGCCTATTAGGAGACATTTCCTAACTTTATCCTTTAAGACTGATGGCTATTAAAACATAGCTGATGTTTTAACAAGTTCAGGTAATTCTAACTGATCATGGTGAGAAGGATACTCATTGTTGCAGGATAGGGAACACTAAGACTAGGAAGGATGTTAGAACTTTAGACAGAGGTTTTCATAAATGTACAAAACAAAATTAAATGTTATCACATCAGATAGTCATTTCATGCATTTTTGTCCACTTAAAAATGTGTAAAACGTTAGATATTCCACTATTTCACATTTTAAACAGTTACTTCTCAAACAAAATGTGACTGCAAAGATGTTTAACTGGATTGGGTGAAGGGTGAGTCCTTGAGCTTCACTCTATTCCAATCTTCATCCTAACATACAGAATCTAAGCCGTATGCTGTTTCTAGTTCACTTTTTCTAAAAATGGATTTCTGAAAACAGATCAGCAAATGAAAACAATGAACATTTGCAGATTTCATTTGTAAAAAAGAAAGACAGCTAGGTTATATCAGACTATATTTATCAAAACTCTATGTAATAGGTAAGACATATGCAAACATGGTTTTAAATGTGCCTCTATATTTATTTCATCATTACTGAAATTTATTTGGCTCTCACGTCTCTATGTTTGCTGATATGGAAAGCGCAATCTTGCTTTTTCTAGGTAATTTACTACTAGCTAAATGATCAGTTAAAATTTGGTCACTTTGGGGCAAATATAGGTAATTCAGATATGTCCTGCTGTCATTCCTTCCCTTCTCCTGAGAGCACCTGAACCTTTGGGAGTTACTGGGAAAGGCCCCTGGCCCATTTTCTGCTCCCTGTTCTGACTGTCATCTGCTAAGAGTGCTCTTATAGCTTGGTTGTGTCTATTATAGACAAGATTTAAAATTAAAAATATGTTCTCACTTCAGATCATATTTCTTGCCATTTAAAGCCTTGCCTTTCAAGAAAATCTTCTTTCCTGTGGGTTGAAACATCCATTTGGCAAGCCACATGAAGTTCTTTTTTGCTCTTATCTTTATCTGCCAGGGATAAAGGATAAGGACAAAATAAATAAAAAAAAAAGTATCACGTAGTCAATCAAAATATTACCAACTATACTCCAGCCACCTCATTTTTAGCTAAATTTAATATAATGTTCATTTTAACAATAGTTGAGATATCCACTATTAAGTATATCATGCACATTATCTCCATGATTAATTTCTCTTTAGATAGTGTTTTTAACGATTAAGTATCTCAACTTTTTATATTTCTTAAGAATTTAAAAAAAACCATCTCACAGGGAATCAGGAACAATTAGATAGACGTGAGGGAGAAGGGACATACTCAGCCTCTTTTCCTTCTCCTCTCCCTGGTAGATTATATGATTTGTTCAAACATACTACATATTTGCTTCCCTTCCCTTTTGGTCCCTCTTTGGTAATGAGTGAGAAGAGAATATTTCCCTCCTCTCCGACATAAGGTCATGCTGCGTTATTGGCTTTGGCAAATAGAATGAGCAGAAATATATATACGCAACAGGTGGGTAGAATTTTTATGAGCTTCATGTCAAGTTTATGAGTTTTATGTTCCATATTTTTTCCATTTTTTCTGCCAGATGATTGTTATGTTAAAGATTAGGACTATTCTTTATTTTATTTTTTTTTTTTTTTACTTTTTGAGACAGAGTCTTGCTCCATTGCCAGCTGGAGGGCAGTGGGGCGAACTCCGCTCACTGCAACTTCGGTTTTCTGGTTTCAAGCAATTCTCCTGCATCAGCCTCCCCAGCAGCTGGGACCACAGGCACGCACCACCACGCCCGGCTAATTTTTTGTACTTTTATTAGAGACGGTGTTTCACCATGTTGGCCATGATGGTCTTGATCTCTTGACTTCGTGATCCGCCAGCTCGGCCTCCCAAAGTGCCAGGATTAGAGGTGTGAGCCACCGCGCCCAGCCAAGA